AGACGGTGATACTTTTGAGAGGAATGGAGTTTGGAGGAAGGGTATGTGGAAAGGAATCAAATTCTTTTTGATTATATTAAGAGTTAAGAGGGCTATAAGATATCCAGGAGTATTACATCCATCAATCTTTGGCTTCCATATGCACATGTGTACACACACAAAACACACACACACACACACACAGATACACAGAAGTTGTACAGGGATGAGAAAAGGATTTTTTAAAAAGCTGAACCAACTGTGAGGTGGCTCGATGGATTAGGGCCCTTGCCATCAAGCCAGACAACCTGAGTTCAATCCCATGGATCCATAAAAGTTAACAGTCTCCATTATGAGATTAGAAAAAAAAAGATGTTAGAAACTTAATCTCACTACAGTGTTAGAAACTTAATCTCACTACAGATTTTGAGGAGATGATTAGTAATATGTAAGGTCAGTAAGGTGGGCCTTCCATAACGGAATCCTGGTGATTTTTTAGGAAGAAGATGCAAAGATCAGAAGAGGTATATGTATACTCCCATCTCTTGCCTGTGAGGTCCTATGATGATATGAACTCTACCAGTAAGGACTCTATTACCAATGTAGGCCCTTAAACCTCCAGAACTGTGAATCAAAGAAATTGTTGTTTTTTTAAAATAAAGTTATCTTGTCTCCAGTATTTCATTAAAAGTAATGCACAGTGGACTAATACATTTGTATTCAGTTCTAAGTACGTGCCAACCATTGCTTCTGGTGCCTGCATATGAATATTAACTCCTTTATCTCTCAAAATAACAACTGCCTCCTTTTATACTTGAGGAAGGAGAGACACAGAGAGCTGAAGTCATTTGTGTAGTGTCATGTTGATACTGTAAGTGATGGGAAAATTCACGCTCAGACTCTGAAGCATTGACTCAGGTAAGAGACTTCAGAGCTGTGGCTCATAACATGAGTTGAGAGTCACCTCTCTTCACTTACCTCTTCTTTTTCAAGGGTATAAACTTTTATCAAATGGTGAAATAAAAATTTCAACCTTTTCTCTGGTTAAGTCGATCTAGTGAGATGATAAGGATAATTGGAATTAGCAATTCTTTCAAACTTGCTGCTTCAGAATTTGTATAAGCTTCTGCTATAGATTAGAAGAAATTTTTAGCCTGCGGTGGTGTCACACACCTGTAATTTCAGCACTGGGGAGGCAAAGACAAGAGAGTCACTCTAAATTCAAGGCCAGCCTGGTCTACACAGTGAGTTCTGGGTTAGCCGGGACCACATAGTGAGACCCTGCTGCACAAAACAAAACAAGACAAAATAGAACAGGACAAAACAAAAAACATTTTAATAGTTAAATAGTATAGTTCTTCCATATTCAAATTTGAAACACAGTTATCCATTATTTTAATGACTCTGTAACATTCAATTATTGGGATATATAACAGTTTACTTAATCTTACACATAGGCACACACAAAAACACATACACACAAACACAAACACATATACAAAATGTGTATTTATGTATTTATACAAGAAATTTGTGTTCTTGGCAGAAACAAAAAGGAAAAGAAGCTAGGTAGAATCAATTCCTTTCATTCCTTTGTTTAATAAATATGTCTTTGTTGAGTGATAATTTTATTTTATAACATCTTTATAAATCATGCCTTCAAATACTATATAAAAGCATGAAGAAAATGAAATGAAAATCTGTAAGATACCTGTGATGGCTAATCCTGGGTGTCAACTTGACTGGATCTGGGATTAACTGAAATGAGAGAGATCTTCTTGACTGGCTCATCTGAAGCTGGAAGACACACCCTAAATGTGGGTGTTACCTTCTGATGGCAGCCGGTATAAAAGGCCATGGCAAGGAAAATGCTTGCTTTTTGTTGCTTGCCTTCTCTCTCGCTGGTGAGTTTGTCTTGCTGTTGTAAACTGAAGACTGGCTGATCACTTGGAATTCATCAGACCTTCAGCACCAGATTGGGACTACTGAGACATCCAGCCTCGTGGACTGAGTGACTGGATTCTCAGCATCTCCAGTGTGGTGCAGACATTGTTGGACTACTCAGACTCTATCCTGTGAGCTAAGCTGATAAATCCCTACACATACTTATTCATTCTACCAGTTCTGATTCTTTGGAGAACCCTGACTAATACCATCCAGAAGTACATGAAGAAATTACTTAAAAACAAGGCTGTCTGGAAATACATGCCTGGTATTGCAACTGTGGCCAAGAACCAAAGGTTGGGGAGGTTACAGACCCCAGGGGTGAACCTACTACTATTATTTTGCTAAACGACACAGTATTAAATTATCTTTTAAATTTGTATCTCTCTGCCAGGAGATTAGTGCATCTCGGTTTCTTTGTGCAATGTGTGTGTGGATGGTGGTTAATGTAGAAACTCACAACTGGTCAAAGTACAGACAGTACGCGTCAGTGAAGTGTTCAGTCATAAATGGGACAGCTATATCACAACCCCTCCCAAAAGCTCAGGGACCATCAGGGAAGAAGGGGTAGAAAGGCTGTAAGAGTCATAGGTTAGGGAGGACGAGTGGGAAACAGTGTCTTCTGGATATGACAGAACCACTGCACTCATAAACTCAGAGCAGCTATGGTTTGCTGCACAAGACTTGCACAAGATCAAGCCATTCAACATTCTAGCATGGAGTGGGGAAGGGTTCATAAGCCCCCACCCCTAACTAAGGAGTTATGGACAGTTGATGGCTTTGGAGAAGAGTCAGTTTAAGAGTGTGACCCCTGGTAGTAGACCACGTTCTAGTGCACGGCCCCACATCTAGGTGTTTGTGTAGAAAAAATTGGACTCAATGGGTTATAAATTTTTTTTTTTTTAAAGAAAGACTTAAAGCTGGGAGGATAGGGAAATGGGGCGGATCTTGGAAGAATTAGGGGAGGAGTAGGGGTGAACATGATCAAAATGCATTGTATGAACATTTCAAAGAATTAATAAAAATTAAAAAAAAAAAAAAAAAAAAAAAAAAAAAAAAAAAAAAAAAAAACAGGACTGGTGGACTGAAGAGGTGGCTTGTTGTTTAAGATCACTGGCTGCTCTTGCAAAGGATTCAGGTTTGGTTCCCAGCCCTCACATGGTGGTTAACATCTGTGTGTAACTCCAATTTCTGGGGATCCAACGCCCTCTTCTGACCTCCACAGGCATTACAAGCACAGGTGTACTTACATACATCCAGGCACAATACTTGAGAATAAATTAGAAATAAATACATTTTTTAATTTAAAAAAAAAAAGACAGAGCTAGGAGTGCAGCTTAGTGGTCGAGCATATGCTTATCATATACAAAACTCTGGGGTCCAGTCCTTAGTACTGAATAAACAAGAGGAAGGGAGAGAAGGGGGAAAATTAGCAAAAGTAAATAAATCAGACAGAGAGAGATATGTAGAGAAGATAGAAAGAGAGAGAGAGCGAGAGAGAGAGAGAGAGAAGAGCAAGTATACCAATTGTAAACAGTGGTTGCTATTCCTGCATAGTGAGATTAAATATGAGTCTTATTTTCTTTTGTTTACATTTCCCCCTTTTTTTCTAGAATGAACATATATTACTGTAATGTTCAGAAATAATTCTTACAAAATTAAATATTTCTACATAGTTTGCTGAGAGCACATGTATTACCACACATCTCATTTGCCACTAAAGTAGAATCCATTAAGATAGTAAGGCCTGGGGTATATATGGACATTTTTATTGCTCCAATTACTCAATATTAATTCTCCAAATAATTCCACTGTCAGTGACATTGCTCTGAATCCCCCCCTCCATCCCTCCCTCCCTCCTTCCTTCCCTCCTTCAGCCTCTCTTTCTGTGTGTGGTGGGACTCTACACAATTACCCATGCTAAAGGAAACAAATGATATGCAACTAACATAGAGTTTCAAGTTCCCCCTAGACTAGATCTACCTAGCAGAAAGTGAAATGGAGAAAAGATCCTGCAGGCATTTTCAAGGGGAAAAAAATTCCTGGAAGTCCAGGTATGGTGGTGCACACTTTTAATTGCAGCGCTTGCTGAGTTCGAGGTCAGCCTGGTCTATGTAGCTAGGCCTACACAGTGAGTCCCTGTCTCAAAAAATAATTAAATTAATCCCTGAAATTTAAGTAAAATATTCATATTCCCCCCACATCCATTTGTTCAGACTACTCCTTAAGATGCCTCTTTTCTTTTTAATTATGTAAAATTTCAAACGTCTTAAAAATATACATAGTAGAGTACAGTTTCAGTAATTATTAACATCATTAAGAACTTTCTTTTCAGGCTGGAGAGATGGCTCAGCGGTTAAGAGCACTGACTGTCTTGCAGAGGACCCGGGTTCAATTCCCAGCACCCGCATGGCAGCTACAAACCGTTCTTAACTCCAGTTCCAGGGGAATCGGAAGCCCTCTTCTGACCTCCGCAGCGTTGCACGACATGGGTGCACTCACATACATGCAGACAATACACTCATACACATTAAAAAAAAAGAAGAAGAACTTTCTTTTCAGCTGCTTGTCTTGTGCCAGAAGGAAACTGTAACATACATGAACAGGAAAACTATAGAAAACTTATTAAATGGTTTTTAACAACAATTGCACTGAGCAGTGAAGTCCCCGATAGCTCCTAAGGCCTGCCGATGTTATAACCCCTTCCCAAGCCGTTCGCCCTATTTTTTCTTTCTTTTCCTTTATCTGTTTTCTTTTGATTTTTGTTTTGAGACAGGATCTTATTTATCTCTCAGACTGGGCACAAACTCCTAATCCTCCTGCCTCTGCCTTTCAAATGCTGGCGTTCTAGACATGTGACCCCATGCCTGACCTTCCACAACTGTTTGAATGTGTCATTATGGTTGAAAGATGTGAGAACTGCTGGAGAGAATGAGGAAGCACCCAGCACTCCCAGAGAAGCTGTGCCTGGAGGGCAGTCCAGGATGAGCGGGGTCAGGGAGTGGGGAGGCCACACACGGAGACATGACACAGCAGCGTTGGAGGGCATAATTGCCCTGCCACTTAGTGGTACCTACCCAAACCGTTGTCACTGCTTGTGGGCCAGGAAACAATTCTGTTCCTCAGCTTCTTCTTTTCACTGGAGTTGTCTGACTTGACAGAAAGGTCCCCTTCTTCCTTCCTAATCTCTTGAATGAGCTGCATGCGGCACCTTGTAAAATCCTGAAAGGAAATCTTTCCGTTTTCATCTGCACCCAGTTGGTTCATGATCTCTGCCACAGACTCTTCCATATTCAACTGGCGGCAGACCATCAGCAAGTCATTTCTGCAGGTGGGGGTGAACAGAAGATGTGTCAGGAAGGCTGTCTGGGCTAGGGAGTGGCCTTACCAAAAATAAAAAAAAGCATTTCTTAAATTCATTTGCCATCAGTAGACTGATTTGCCACTTTCTCATTGCTTCCAGAAAAGTGGTAGGGTACCCTACCCCCTGAAATCCTGTTTCATCTGGATTTTCTAGACAAAACCTTTAAAAAAAAAATATCTATTGTGCTGTATAGCTTTAGTGTCAACTTGACACACCTGGGTTGAGGGAGCCTCGATTGGGGAATTGCCTCTATTGGACTGGCCTGTGGCCATGTCTGAGGAGCATCTTGATGAATGATGCGGGAGGGCCCAGTCCACTGTGGGTGGTGCCACTCCTGGGCAGGTGGGCCTGTGTTGCATAAGAAAGCAGGCTGAGCAGGGGCCAGGAGAGCAAGCCAGTAAGCAGCGTTCCTCCATGGCCTGTGCTCCAGCTCCTGCCTCCAGGTTCCTGCCCTGAGTTCCTACCTTGGGCTCCCGATGAACTGTGACCTGGGAGATGTAAGCTAAATAAACCCTTTTCTCCCCAAGTTGGTAGTGGTCAGAGTGTTTTGTCACAGTAATGAAGAACAAACTAGGGCATTTATTATTTTTCTTTTACGTGTATTTGTGTATTGTCTTGCGTGTAGGTAAGTGCACCGGTCATGCAATGCCCACGGAGGACAGAGGAAGCTGTCAGATCCCCTGGAAATGGAGTTAGGACAGCTGTTAGCTGCCATGTGGGTACTGGGATTGGAACCTGGGTCTTCTGCAAGAACAACCAGTGCTCTTAACCTCTGAGCCATCTCTCCAGCCCTGACAAAACCTTTTATTGTTTGGAAAAGCAAGGGAACTTTTAATCCTGTGCTCTCTTTTCTTCCCTTCACCTTCTTTTTTCTCTTAATTTCTTTTGAAATTGAAGAACATAAAAATTCTTTCTTTATACTGTAGTGTGTAGCACTGTAATCTTTCTGTAAGATGAAGTTTCACAGCATAGAAAAGACATTGTTTCTGCTCATGACAGGCTCCAAAACCTAGTCCAGTTGTAAAAGAACTACAAAAAATTTAACAAACCTGAATTTCAACTTAAAAAATATTTTATTACTTTTTATTCCTCTGTTAATGTATATTTATTTATTGAATTGTTTAGCATTTCATACAAAATGTCTTAACCTTTTCTATATGCCCTCCCCCATCTGCACCCTCCCCAATCCGCACCCTCCTATAACGTTCCACCACTGGTTTCATGCATTCTGCCATATATGTTAAAGTCTATCAAGTCAAGTTAGTGTACCCAGATGTCCCTCAGTGCAAGTTCATTCACTGGGCTCTAGTCAGTCTATCTAGAATCTCTCCCTTAAAGAAGATCAACTCTCTTTCACCCAGCAGTAATCAGCTACTAATAGTTTTTCGGCTAGGGTTGGGGCCTGCTGCCTACTTCCCCAGTTCTATAATGGCTTTCTGTCTGATTGAGTTTGCATGGGTCTTGTGCATGCTGATACTGTTGCTGTAAGTTCATATGAACAAGGTCCCAGGAACCTGTGTGACTCTGTTTCCTTGTGGTCATGTACCTCCTCCCCTGGCTCTTACTATCTTTCCACCCCCTCTTCTCTTGGAGTCCTGTCCAGGGACCCACACTCTCCAGTTGTGGCCTTTTGTGATCATCACCCTCTGTTGCATGAGATATCTCACCTCTGGCCCCACCCCATACATCTTAATAATGCTCTAGAGTTAGAAACCCTAGCCAGGATAATCATTTGCCCTGACATTCCTTCTCAAATGTATTGTTCTTTGTCTAAAACATACAAGCACACCATGCTTTAGTCATTTCTTTGGACTACTCTCTTGTCAAGATCTCCATATAAATGTAAAATCAATAAGTTTCATTTTTTTCTTGTCAATCAGCTCTTATACTAAATTGGTTTCCAAGATCCAGTTAAAGAGCCCATAAAGAATGGGCTGTGTTCCATGAAGAGTCCCTGAAATCTCACATTATCCCAGGTCTATGTCACTAACATTTCTAGCCAATCATCCTGCTTCCATATGACATTTCATTTTCATTTACAATTTTTATATACCGCTATATCTTTTACTCTGTCTTGTTTGTATGTTCATGTACTTATGATTATGCATATTATATATGTCACTATGTATATATAACATATTCGCAAGGCAGACAGATAGGCTGATAAATATACACATGGAAGTAGTTATAGATTAAATTATTAGCCTGAACTTTTCGTTTGTCTGTTGTCTAAAGGGTATCCATATATACCCTTGCTTTATCCTCAGAGCCAGGAGCACTGATGGCAGGTGTGTTTTCTCTCCCTTAACTCAGGCTTGATATAGAATTTGTTTTTCCACTGCAGTGTTAGTGGATTTGTGCCTGTGTAGTTGGGCTTGACCCCCTCTGCTTTCTCTGTCTATGTGAGAACACACCCTGGTAGCTATCATCCTGGCCCTAAACTAAGCCGCCCCAGCTGACCTTCTTAAAGACTTATACCCTGGGAAAAGCCACTCCAGCGAAGTCTAAAGTTTATGCTTCTGAATAAATTCTTACTGTTTATACCAACTAAATCTAATTGTTCTGAGATTTTTGTGTCACTACACTGAAATAATGTCTTAAAAAAACTTTTCATATCCCTATCTTTTCTGCTCTTCCCTTTATACTACCTGCCTGATAAGCAGCTGGATTCATCCAAGATTTAGGGATGGTCAGAATTGATGACATAAGAAAGCAAACTGAAAGGAGGGTCCAGATTTTCCTTTGGGTACAAGGAAATGTGGCTACACATTTTATTTTCTAGAGAAAGAGTTCCCTTTTCAGATTTTTAGACAGTAAGACGCTAACAATAATATTCTTTGAATGGTAAGAATATGGTGGTTTTCATCTTCTCATTTTTGCCTGATTGTATTTTGTAGCTATCTGAAATATCACATATTGTTTTCATAAATGGTTATGTTATTTTAGGTTTTTAAAATGGGGATAATAACTGTACCTATCTCACAGGGCTGTTCTGAAGGTCAATGAGACAGTATGTGCAAAGCACTCAATAGTTCCTGGTACATAGTAAGCCCCCAGTAAATAGGCGCAATTACTATGATTCTTTCCTAATTATTGATCATAGATTCTTCTCAATATCCTGGATTCATGATTAAGACATTTATAATGAAGCAGGAGCTGCTCAAGGGAAAAGAGGTTTACTTAATAGAATTGGCTCTCTTCCTAAGAGGAACAGTCTGTACACAGAGTTCCTTCCTTCCTCCTGACTACAGTCCACTTACTACCTGAAGCACCTGGTAGGAAGCCCAGCTCTGACCAGGTTTGAGAAGCCCTTTCTAAAAGAAAGCAGGAAGATTTGTGTTCTAAGCAAAATGCATAGGCCTGAATTTTTGAGGGGCAGTGAGAGGCTGTAATGAAAGATCAAAAGCAATGCACATTATACTCTGTTCACTCATGTTGTAGTCTTTAAATAGAAGTACCAGTATTTAAAAATGAAATTAAACCTAAATGTCTTCAGTATAGAGATATAAAATGGACAATGATTGTGAACAAGTCTTCAGTGGGAAGTACTGCAGTGTCCATTTCAGGATATGAAGGCTAAAGGCGTCACAGGGGTGATACATGGGAAGTCCTAGAATCCAAACCAAATCAGTCTGATCCCAAGTGCTTGTCCTTCCATTCTATCACTTAGAATCTTGGATGTCAGTAACCTGAGTTTTGGCAAGCACTAAAATGAGCAGCTTGGTTATCAAATGCCATTCATTAATAATACTTTGTATTAAGCCACAGTCTACACTTATCTATATATGTGTTACTCTTCTACGTTAAATATGGATGAAAATACTATTATTTGGGGACTGGACAGGTGGCTTAGTGGTTAAGAACACTGGTTGTTCTTGCAGAAGACCTGGGTTCATATCCCAGCACCCACATGGCAGCTAACAACTTGTCCGTAACTCCAGTACCAGGGGATCCTTCAGCCTCTTCTGTCCTCTGCATGCATTGCACGACATGGGTGTACTTACCTACATGCAGGCAATACACGCATACACATAAAATAAAAATAATAAATAACATTTAAAAAAGAAAATAGTATTATCATCAACATGATGAATAAAAAATATTATGAGAGAAAAAACATGCAAAAACACTTTATATGTGGTTAAAGCCTGGAAAACAAATCACAGCCACTGTGCTAAGCTGTTAAAAGTAGCCCCCAGTGACCCTGTTACTAGGCCCCTTTCAGTGGAGGTCATTTCCCTGTCCTAAATCTGAGCTAGCCTTGAAATGTTCTTTTATTAATGGAATGTGGTAGTATTCTAGCATTTTGAACACTTGGGCTTTTTTAGTTGTTATGGTTTGAAACAGGTATCATGTAGCCCAGGCTGGCCCCAAACTCTCTAAGTAGCTGAGACTGGCCTTGAACTCCTGACCCTTCTGCCTTCATCTTCCAAGTCCTAGGATCACAGGTGTGCAGCACTATGCCAGGCTTTGAACACATGGGCTTTAAGATACATTGCAACATCTACCTCCATCTTTCTAGAGCTGTGTGGGACGATTCCTGGCAGACCATCCCTTCTGATGACATTTAGCATCTTCACTATTCAGTCAGTGATTATGTACAGTTTTGTGACAATTTTGGATTGTTGTATTAAACTTTGATTTCTGTTTTGGATTCCCAGCCTGATCTCAAGCTCCTAGAAACCAGTGTTGGACCTATGTCAATGTCTTCTGAAATGTGTGGAGTAGGCAAGGAGAGCATCATCCTGCATACTGCACACCTTCAACACATTTATTTTGATGGGTAGATGCATAAACTGTTAGAAACTAAAAATAGACACCCTTTTGAAGACAGTCTCACTTTACTATTTTTCCAGATGTACTGCTTTGTACTTTCTCATAAAGTTCAGCACAAGGGATGCTCAGTGACCACAGATGACTGATGGACTCCATGACAAAACAAAGATCCCTATAGCCTTAGT